ATCCTGGAACTAGCTCTTCTAGACCAGGCTGGCCTCGAACTCACAGAGATTCGCCTGCCTCTGCCTCCCAAGTGCTGGGATTAAAGGCATGAACCATCCTGGAACTAGCTCTTCTAGACCAGGCTGGCCTCGAACTCACAGAGATTCGCCTGCCTCTGCCTCCCAAGTGCTGGGATTAAAGGTGTGCGCCACCACTGCCCGACTCAATAATAATTTTGTATCTATTATTTATTTTTTTGTTTTTTTGAGACAGGGTTTCTCTGTGTAGTCTTGGCTGTCCTGGAACTCACTCTGCAGACCAGGCTGGCCTCAAACTCGCAGAGATCCACCTGCCTCTGCTGCATGCCACCACCACTAACAATTTCGTTTTTAAATAAATCACTCAGGGAACTGAACCCTGGCCTCACGCATATGCAATGTGGCGTGTGAACATGTGACATGCCTGCACAGGCTTGTATGTTTAAATACCTGGTCCCCAGCCGGTGGAACTGTCTGGGAAGGACTAGGAGGTCAGTGCAGGCTTTGAGGTTTCAAAAGACTCAGCTTTCCCAGTTATATCTCTCTCTGTGCCTCCTGCTTGTGGATTAGACATGAGCACTCAGCAATCGCTGCGGCTCTGTGTGAGCTCTCTGCTGCCAGGCTACCTGCATGATGATCGTGGACTCACCACCACCGAAGCTGCATGCCCACCCCAAAAAACTCCTCCTTCTGTAAGCCCTGGACCCGGCCCTTCGAAAAAACTCATTGTTCCAAAGAAAGAAAAAAACAATGTTTTCTGAGACATGGCCTGGTTGTCCTGGCTCTTGAACTCACAGACACACCTGCTTCTACAGGCAGACGCTGCCACACCCAGCCCTTGTCTTTGGTTATGGCTGAAATTCTATTTACACAACGCTGTGCAGTGTGTGTGCACATGCAGGTATGCTCTCCAAGACACTCTGGCAGAGCTCCTCCTTGTTCCCTTGAGTCAGGGTCTCTCATTGAGCTTGGAGCCAGCCTGGCAGCCAGTAAGCCCCAGGAACTCTCCTGTCATCACATCCCACAGTACCAGGGTTGCAGCCTTGAGCAATTCAAACTCAGGACTTGATGCTCTGACAGCAGGCACTCTTTAACTACTGAGCCTGCCCCTCACCCTTCTTTCCGGGCAATCTCATATTGCTAAGCCCCAATGCACCCATACGGGGCCGGAGAGCCATTCGCCTCCCTTCGAGAGCCTCACCGCAGTGTTCCTCGTCCGACTTGTCCTTGCAGTCCGCACTGCCGTCACAGACCCAGCTGCGATGAATGCACTCGCTGCTGCCACAGTGGAATTCCAGGGAGGAGCAGGGGCCGCTGCTGGGGACAGAGGCAGTGTCGCGGCCCCCGCAGTTCTGGGGCCACTCGTCGGAGCCGTCCTCACAGTCGTCATCCCCGTCGCAGGCCCACAGGCTGGGGATACAGCTGGAGGAGTTGCAGCGGAAATGGGCGGGGCCGCAGGTGGTGGCCTGGCAGTGGGCCTCGTCAGAGCCATCCAGGCAATCTCGGTCCTGGTCACACACAAACTTCTGGGAGATGCACTTGCCGTCCTGGCAGCGGAACTCATCCGGGGAGCACGTCTTGGGGGCTGGGAGTGCACAGGGAGGAGAGCGTCCTGTCACGCCATGGCCCAGGCTACCACACATGGGTTCATTCGTAGACAGGATCCTTGTGCTTAAAACAACCCCTTTAGCAGAGGCTTGGAGAGCCGTGGTGGTAGCAGGCCAGGGCCTGGGAAACTGCTGCACAGCCTTCTCTGCCTCAGTTTCCTCATTCACACGATCAAGTATCAAGTCAGCTCTCTACCTCTGAGCCACACCTGAGCCCCTTCCTGGGGTTTTTCACACAGGGCTGAGTTACATCTTAGTGCTTCTGGTTACACCCTAAATGATCTGATTACCAGCGCCCCCATTCAGCAGGAAGCAGTTTGGAGAGAAAAAACTACACCCATGTTCCCAAATATTGTTTATAAATGTTCTTTTACATTTAAAGGGGGATATGATATAGATATGAATCATTTGCATGGGTATGGATTTTAAGGTCAGTTTTGTTATATGTATATGTATTTTTGATCTTGATTAAGGTATTGTGATTGTGTAGTTCATTTTAAAATGTAATGTATAATTAGGAAATATAGGTTGCTAAT